TTATTTCCAGGAAAAGGACATAGGGCTTATCAATAGCAATTTTTTTTCTGTATGCATTAAGAAAATTCAAGTTCAGGCAAGGAAAGGTCTTACCACATAACTGGTCGGATCTCCACAACTAGTCAGATCGTCACAACTAAGATCAGTTCGGAAGCTGTCACCCTGCAAGAGTTTTATTTACAAAGAAAAAATTTTAAATCCTAAGATGTGAATTTATTTCAACTGCTGGCACGTAGCTCATGGAAGTGTATTTACTGTGCCTACCACGTTTGTTGTTATTAAAGGAATTATAAGGTTCAGGTTCATATACAGAAGATGCGTCCTTTTGCTGGTGTGTTATCTTATATTTAAAGTTGTGAACCATAAAGGTTTATATGAACTGAAGAAGAAATTAATTTCCTTTCAAAATGTTCATCCTCTGCAAGTTGTAAACAATATAAGACCGTACTCACCTTGGAAAATGCCCTAAGCTGAAAATGGAGGTTGGAAGAATAGCAGAGCAAAATATCACAACTAAATTAAAACCACGGGTAGAACATGAACAAAACATAATCTTTTATCAATCTACTTTAGGCAAGAAGTTAAAGAAGCACTGTATCTGAACAAGACAAAAAGCTGCTTGAAATGAGTTAATTTTAAGGTTTTATTTAACTTTACTTATAAAAAGGAAGATTCACAAGTGTTTAAAAGAATTCTAGGTGCATTTTTAATATGCTAAGAGTGTGCAATATGAAGTACTGTATAAACAGCAACTGCAATGTTAGCTGCTTGAGAAGAGTGAAAAACTACTCTCAGTCCAGCACTTGTGATGAAATTGTTCTCAACACCTCTCAGAACAAGCAATTTTACTGTCAAACTACACACAACTAATCTAATCAAACAGGAAGGTGCATGAGGCTTTCAACATCCCTTAATAAGAATGAAAGTAGTGATTCGCTTACAGACCAAACCTTTTTGCCTGTGGAGCTCCCCCATGTGCCATGAGGCCCTTGTGGGTTGGGGTGGTTTCAGCTCTTTCTTTTTGTTATGTTTTTGTTTTTGTTTTTTCCTTTTTCTGTGCTGGTTTTGTTGGGGCTGGGTATTGATGGGAGCCCAAGTGCCAGTGTCACCCCCGTCTTGGGGCTGTGCAGGGCTAGCGGGCTCATGAGTCTGACCCCACAGAGCAGCTGCATTGCCCTGACCAGCACCCATGGCATCAACCTCTTGGCTGACGTGGCGTGCCGGGAGGCAGTGTGGCAGCACTGGGCTGGCTGGGGAGCCCCCTGAGTAAAGGGGGGTTTGCTGGTGGGGTGCTGGGTGCCCCGGGTGGGACGGGCTGTCCACATGGCTGTTCTGCTGTGAGCCTGTGTCACTGCTGCTGGAGAGGCCACCCACAGAGGGGCTGTGTAGGGAATGGAGCATTCCTGCTACACAGCTGTGCTGTCAGGAGACCATCCCCTTCCTCTTTTGTCAAGAAGGGCTTGGGTGACGTAATAAACTGTGAGACAATGCACCTTCCCTGTGCAGCGAGATTGCCACGTTGTGCAGCAGAGTAGGCCATCTTGTGTGGCAGCAGGAGCCCTGTGAGGGAGGCCATCTCATGGCTGCCATGCACAGAGCACAGGGAGAAGCGCAGTGACACAGCTCTGCAGCATCAGCGACATCCCTCACACCGCTGTGGGGAGAGAGTGGAGAGTGCCCAGGGCTTGGGGGGGTGTGAGTTGTGTACCCCTACCACAGGTGAAGATTCTGCATGGAAATAAATGTACAGCCAGGCTCTAGTACTTCCTGATGTGGTTATTTTGTGTTTTTATAATTCTGCTGTATGATTGACTGCCCGAGTTATTTGGTGCAAAGTCCCAAAAACTGAGAAAGATTGGACACAGTGAAGGAGATTCCTTACAACAAGCTGAAGTACTTATTAGTTTCAGGAAACATATATATTTCCAGTAACCTTTTGCTGGCCACTTGAGAACAAATGGGTACTGTGATGGGCTGTGCAGCAACGAGAAGGTTTCTGCAGCCTCTCTTCCCTGAACCAAATGGCGGGGAGCGGGATTCTTGTACGGCTTTGTCATAGAATTCCAGGAGATTTTAGGCTGGTTGCAGCTTGTCAACTACTGGGATATTTTGAGCAGAACACTGGAGTGAAAAATGAGGGCTAAAGATAGAGAAGAAGCTGGGAAATAGGGAATAGAAGGATTGAAAGGAGCTGCACGTACTTGCTAATGTGTGGCTGTTTCCACAGTTGTGCAGGCTTTTTGACTTGCCATCCATACGATGTTGTATCGTGTGTAGATTTACTGGGTAACTTTTTTTTATTTTTCTTCCGCCATTTCATCCTTGGGCATCTTTAGATTTTCACTTTTACTTAATGCTTAGAGGAAACCAAAATCTCATAAAGAAATGTAACTACCTTAGTTTAAGGGAAGAATTTGACTCTGCCTCCTGGGGCAAGGTGTTATGTGAGACTGAAATATATTTCTTTTTCCAAACTTTGCAGCTCCAAAATTTTGTCTGTTTTAGTAGTTGAGGAGGAAGAGGATCTGAATGGGTCCATTGCATAATTTTGCAATCTTTGCATTTGCCCTAATTTTCAGTATGATCTAGCAGACCTAGTCTTCATATCCTAATCTCTTTCGTTCATTTAACAAAGTCCTAAAACAAGTCACAATCAAACATGGCAAGTTTAACAGAATCTGCTCCACAGCTCCAGGCTAACCTGCCGCAACACTAGTGGGATTGATTACCAGTAGCTCTAAAGTGAGTTTCGTGGTAGAGGTATGTGGTGGAGCTACCCTGCTGCTCTGCCTTCTGTCCATGGCACAAGCCAGTACGCTGGGTCCCTTTCTTTCACTCAAGTGCATTCCTGCGTTTTAAGGAAAAGACTGACTAAAGTAATTGATTCTTCAGGCTTGACAGTGACTGCTGTGAAGGACTTTGGGGAGTGGAATTTGGAAGCTGGAGCACTGGTGCTTGCAGATGGAGGCCTTTGTTGCATTGATGAGTTCAACAGTATCAAAGAACATGACAGAACCAGCATCCATGAGGCAATGGAGCAAC